GTTTTGACTGTCTTCTGCCACTTTTTGTGACTCCATAGCCGACATTGTCCAAAAATTACGAACTTTATATGCCCGCACCACTAGCCAATCAGAACACAGTATTCGTTTCATAGCACCCACGGGCGCTACCAGCAATATGATAACAACAAGTACAATCTTTTAAGTGTTCATGTAGAGTGATTCACTTAAATATTTCGTTTAAACTACAATTACAGGAATAAGTGGGGATACATCTATTAAACATACATTCAAAATCAGATTTACTTCACTCATACTTACAAAAGGTCCACTGATTTTATAAGCTACCTTATTTGTGCTTAATTTGGCGCTTTTGGCGAGACGGTATTTCTTGGGGTTTTACTATCGTAAAGTCAATAGCGTTAAATTTCGCGAATCAAACCTACTCAACTTCATGTTACTTTTCAATTTGTCTTAACATTTGACGACTGCACGAAAGATATTCGAAGGAGGTTTTTCAAATATAGCCGATTCAGATGGAGATTTCCTTTCACAACGGAAGATCCTACATAGAATTTACCAGTAAGACCAGTTTTTAATTTTTGTATTTGTCGACACATGTTCTGTATATGTTGTGGTTATTACATGTTGATCTTTTTTTACCGGTGATTTGAATTTTCTATGGGTGATTCAATTCCACGTGTTAAAATTCTTCGTGGATTTTTATTCCCAAGTCTTCAATTTCGCGATTTTTTCACAATCGCAAAAACACGACCTTAAAGACCCACAAGATTTCAGTACTAATACGGTACGTTATTTACTTTGTCTTGTAAGTAAGTCAGGCCATTTTCTTTGACAATCCGAGGAGTATTCTCTCAAACCGCTGAAGCTACTGTTATCTGTCTTGGTGGGGAGCATCGACGAGGATACGACCCTCTCGATCTTTGACCCGCACCCGTCCCGAAGCGTAACGGGTCTCTGTGCGACCATCGGGATAGACCGTCTTTACTGTCCCGTCAGGGTATTCTCTTTTCTACACAAGAATGGGAGAAAAAGATAACCAGTTATTGCTGTTGTACTAAGACAGGGTAGAAGTTCTTTTAAGCAGAGAACTCTTAACTCTGTAAAAAGCAAGTTCGTAACTGACACTGGCTGTATACGGAAATGTGTGAAAACTGAGTTCACATAGCAGTAAGTTAAAACAAACTGAACAAAGTTTTTTAAGTTGTTCGGTCCGCTCAGAGTCACTAGGCATCCGCATATTTCCCAGCATGCAGTGGAGATAAATGGTGACATTTCATCACTGTCGCCAAAGCGATCGACGAGCTCACAAAAACCTGAGTTTCGACAATCTCAATTCTTTCAAAACAATGTCATTCCTTGGCGCTTCTCTCCACTTAAAAGAATAACTGAGCACAGACGAGCATTCTGAGAAACCTGATGAAATGTTGGGGTTTTACCAGCGATGGATAGTCACCAGAGGGTGCCATAGCAAGTGGCTAAGCAACAGCTTCAAACTTCAGAAACCGGTTGTCTGAGAATACTGGCCAAAATGTTTAACTAGAACCTAAGACTAATTCTGCTCACTTTATAGAATTTCGTGTGTGTCTCTCTTTGTCCATTTGGGAATTCAATGGTTCGCTCGCCATCCACGCTAACTTTCTGTATAGTACCGTCACTAAATACACATTCCTCTGCTCCGTTTGGGTACAAATACTTTATCGTCTGATCTGGGAAGATAATTTCTTTAGTCCCATCGGGATAATGCTTCTCGATTTGTTTGCTAAAAAGACAAAAGTGAAACTGGATATGAAGCGGAAATTGCGATAAAGTACGGCGTATTTTTTACCTATTCAGGAAGGCACGCAGACACATGAACCAAAAGTTTATTCGCAAAGGAAAGTTGAAAAGGAAACTCGTCAAGCCAGTCCACGCTAGTTAGAAAAATTTGACAAGATAAAAAAAATTTTCCATCGCTACGTTCTGAGGTTGGTCTAAAAATATTCAGCCACAGCAAGTCTCTTAATCAGTCGAATGCAAAGCTAACATCGATGGTGAGTTGGCGTTTTGCTGCGGTTTAGGCTTTAAGAAACTTCAGGGGTTTAACATATTTTACTGTACTCAAACCTGGGAAACTGCAAAACCTCCAGCCCGTCTGGATAAGTAGTATGAGTTGTTTGAACGTCAGAATAATAGTACATCTGATAAAAGGAATAGAACATGAACATGAAAAGTAAATCCTTGACGTAACCGAAAAACAAATTCGGAATTATGTAGTTAAGAGAGTGACGCCACACGAGCGTTGCTTCGCCCGTAAGAAAGTTGAGGCCTTGAGCAAATGCCAGTTAGCGGAGTTTTGGCACTAAGTACTAGTGCTAGACCCCTTGCAAACTCATCGCTTTGCTCCAGGCTTTCACCTTTCTCGCTGGCTGAGAAACGCTCTAACCGCAACGCCAATAATGAGGTCCTGCAAGCAAGGGAGAATGTTTGGTGCTTAACATATGCCTCACCACTCGTTGGTCCGGCATGATCTGTTTGACATCTCCGTTGAAGAAAGTGACAGTGATAGTTTGGCCGTCGACACTGATGTCTTTTCTTGTCCCGTTTGCAAAGGAGATCACACGAGAGCCGTCACTATTAACTTTCTCCACCTGGAAACACAATTCGTTTAATGTATCTTTGGTAGAGAAATGCTGGTCTTAGATTGCTAGGCTATAGAGAGGACTGGATCAGAGCCCTCTTGTGGAAAAG